CTCCCAAAATTCCCCCCCCAGCAACGCTGGCTGAGGAAATCTGGGAGTTGAAGTCCACCCATCTTAAAGTTGCCAAGGTTGAGAAACACTGGGCTAGAGAGAATGTGAAGAGCATGGTTTGAAGAGGATGTTGGCAACTGAGAAGGAAAACAAGCCGATAGTAACTGAAGAGGCATCAGTACTGTCACCAGCCTTAAACTTCTTTGCTAGAAAAACTAGGGATCCCAGGGACAGTTTTGGGCCAGGATAATCTACCCAAGCCACAACAACCTCAGTCAGTCTGGGACAATCAGCAGCTATGCAGGATGTAAGCATGGCCCTGAGGACTCAGGTTTTACATCCCTTCTCTAGGACATTTGGAAAATCAGAATGGTTCTTCTGGGATCTGCTATTTTAATTACCCAGAATGCCCTAGAAAGGTGCTCTGTTAAGAGTCTTGGGGAAAATTTAAATGGTGGCACTAATAGCATAACAGTGTTTCTCAACCTTGACAACTTTAAGACATGTAGACTTCAACTCCAGAATTCTCCACCCATCTTGCTGGCTGGGGAATTCTGGGAGTTGAAGTCCACCTGTCTTGAAGTTGCCAAGGTTGAGGAACCCTTCTGTACAGGTTTGTAATGGGCTTTACTGGTTTCTAATTAAGACTTCTGAAAATTATACTGTTTTGGTACCATTGGTTTTCTTTTGGTTGCTTGCTTTATTTTAATTGCTGTAAGCAGCCTAGGATTGCAAATTATGATGAAGGCAGCCTCTCTAAGTTTGATTGTTAAATAAATAACAAATGCATGAATAAAACTCCTAAAATCTACGATCCTTTATTAAATATAATGACTGATTTCACATAGCTTTAACCAAATCTGTCAAAGACACTACTGGTAGCATTCCCTTAACCTTCTAATCTTAATCAGTCTATTTGTAGCTTAGTATCCCATGCCAACCCAGCCCATTTTACTAGGTTACACATCTGGAACTAGAAGGTACAAACTAGAAATTGCTTTAATTCAGTAATCAAATCGGCATGCTATGTGAATCCACCTCCTGAGTCAAAGCCTGCTTGACTATATAAAAAGAAAATCATGGGGAGGTAGATGTCTAAAAATGACAAAGAGGCCACGTATCATTGTAGCCAATTTGAACCATTTGTGGCTGTCATTTTTGTCTCTCCTCATTAAATTTATTAATGCACTTTACATTAAATTGACACCAGCATGCTAATTTCATCCTTTCTGTCAACCTACTTTTCATGCTCCGTTAGCTAAAGATATAAATTCTACAGAGCTCCCTGCATTATCTAAAGTTATGGATATGAAAGTAAGTTGGTCAATTCACATTTGTATGTGTACCAGATCTGCATTTCCTGCACCCACGGGGGTCAGCAACTTTTTCAGGCAGTACTGGCCATCACATGATCTTCTGCAATAGCCCAAGCAACCTCTATATTTTTTTAATTAGTCAAAATCTCACAACATTGCAAATGTTATAAAATATTGTCAGTCTTACCCAGAAATCTCAGAAGATCTTTTCTGAGAATATTAAAATCATATAAGATTACCACATGAAAGTTCAGGTCTTCTGAATCTGGGGATCTTATAAGATTCAGCTAGTTTTCACAATTAAGTTATCTTAACTGGGGGCTATGGGTGTTTGTTTTTTTAAAAAAAGGTCCCATAGATTCCTGGTGCCTCATGTAATTATCTATTACATTTGTAGATGGATTTTTTTTCCTAAGGGGTTCATTAAACTAGAGACCAATCTACATTCAAAAAAATTGATTTTATTGACAAATTTTAGTACTGGAGGCCCACGGACAAAGTCTGGAGAAGGATGGGGTTACAAACGCTCTTTACTGGCATATGCAAATGAACCCATCCATTTAATTATCTATGTTCTAATTACAATACATCATGAACAATAAATATTATTGGTTGTTATTATGCCTTGATTAAATTACCTCTATTAATTGATTTGGTTAATACACATTTTAATATTCTATTAAGGGACAAGATAAATGAGATCACCTATTCCTGCACAATACAAGTCTTTGCTAAGACAATAATCTAGGGTTCCTCAACCTCAGCAACTTTAAGATGGGTGGACTTTAATTCCCAGAATTCCCCAGCCAGCCAACCAACTCTGGGAGTTGAAGTCCACCCATCTTAAAGTTGCTGAGATTGAGGAACCCTGCAATAATCCTTTATAATGTATCTCAAATTGGTTAGTTTCCTTAGCTGCTATCTAAAAAACCTTGGTTCCCAGCTCTAGCAGTTAACTATTCTCAGCTATCTAATATATTCCCAGTGGCTACTTGGCATTCTTGTGGTTACCGCTTACACACATTTCGCTAGTGCCTTGCTCCCACTTGCTTTTACTAAGTCCACAAAACAGCCTATTAACTTATTATTTTCTATGTTATCTAATATGTATCAATTGGGGTTTTTCT